TGGTGTTTTTTGTTAGTACTATAAGCATGCATTTTCGATTGTTTTAACCTTCCTGAACCATTGATATATACAAGGAAATAAATCAACTTGTGAAACTTTGAGCCTCAAACAATGTGAAAAAATGTTACCCTCAGCTGAGTGCATTTGCATTTGGCTCAAAAACTCAACTCTTGTCCAACCTCACAATTCATGTGTCCTCACTAGAAAGAAAGTCCCAACCTCAAAATATTTACAATGACAACAAAAAAGGAGGAATTCACAAATACACTCACCCTCAAAAAGAGTTTCAAGTGTTACAACATACCATACCATAGGTTTTCCCTTATTTTAATTCATTGCTTTATTTTAAGAACGCTCGGTTGGAGATCCCATAAGGACTTTTTAAGCTTGTAATATAGGTTTAGGGAAGGGTCGGATAAGCATTTGGGTACAAGTGAATTCACCCTCCTTGAACACTGATCACATTCTTCTTTTCTTGTTGATCGTTGTTTCTTTTCAAATCGCATAGCCTCATTGGCATCTAGTTACCAACATAGAACCACCTTACATACCTCTCAAATTTTCTTCAAGTCTCCATGTTTATGTACATACAAATATTTTTCTCTTTTTTAAAAAATATATATACACATTTTTGTTTTGGAGCCTGAATAATTTAATATGATCACTTTGAGGTATATGTTCCTACACTCAATGTACAACCTTACCAATTTTCACATTGACATCACACCCCCAACTGAAGCTTTTAGCCTCATTCTCAATGTTCAAGGAGGGACGGGTTCAAACAGGGAATGATTTTACAAAAGGGGAAAGGTTTGTAATGAGGTGGCCAAAGAAAAGGTTAAAGGCTCAAATAGGGTACTAGTGATATCATTTATACAATGATAGGCTTGAAAGGCTAACTGGTTTTCCAAAAATCACAAAGACTGCCTAAGGTCATTTCTCCAACCAAATGTAATTATTATAAGCATCGAAAAACCAACCGAGCAAGTTCTAGATGGCAGAAGTAAACACAAGAATTATTTACACAAAGAACTCACACACATGGCGCACGAACTGTTTGGCTTACATAGTTTGAAGCCCTCGAGTCAACACTTGGAAACTCAAAGCTTTCATCATATATACATGTATAACTCTAGGTAGACATAGAGCCACCGAGCGAGCCTCAAGTTCACACATTTGATATCTCTTCTTTTTTTTTTATATTAAATGGATGGGTATATGCGATATATAGACACACATGCTTGAAACTAAACAAGTACACCAAATCGGTCAATATGCTTTATTCTACTATCCTGGTTCTACAATTACACCCTTGGAAAAGACACGGCGAAGAAAAACCGAAGGGAATTCATTGCTAATTACTAAAGATGGACAACTATGTACTTGTTTTTTTTGTTTTTTTTTGTATACACAAGGATAACATAACTTATGTACGGAAATCACAAAACATCAATAACATAACTTATGTATGGAAATCACAAAACATCAATAACATAACTTATGTACGAAAATCACAAAACATAATTAACATAACTTATGTACGGAAATCACTAAACATCAATATATACAGAATCACGAAACACAAATGAGTACACAAGTTCAACAGTTGCCAATGTCACAAAAATATATACAAGGCTACCATCTCCAACTAAAAGGCATGCATTGTCCCCAATGTATAAGAACATGAAGTATAGTTTAGGGGCTCCCTGAGGCGCACTAAGTGCTATGGGAGTCGGCAACTGGCTGAGAGATGGTGGGGTCACCCTCCAATATTGAAGCTGGGACCGATAAGGTCTCGGTCTGAGGAGTGACCTCTACTGGAGTAGGAGAGATCTCTGGCTGATCCAATACTGGAGCTGGAGCCTGTGAGCTGCTAGCCGCGCTCGTTAATGGCTGAGTGGCCGTTGGATCTGCAGGGGCGGCCATGTCTGCTAGCGAATGTGCTATTCTACCTGAATTGTTGCTTGTTTCTCATCCTCAACTATAGGAGAAGCAATCTGCTTACCCTTCTCCCGAGGGCCTTCATCCTCCTCGGACCAAGAATCCTCCTCATCCTCTCCCTCGTCTGCCTCCTCACTCTCAGACTCTGAAGACTGTCCGGACTCTTCCTCAGAAGGAATCTCAATATGTGCAGTGGGAGCTGGAGGCTGGGAAGTCTCGGCAGTCGGAGGTGCAATATCCGTCATCAACGTGGAGAAGTCAAGGTCCAAGCCTGTTGCTGTTGTGTCTGCTCCCTGCTCACCTTCCTTGGGTAGGAAGGATGATAGATCGAACTCCAAAGTCTGTATCTTGTGGAGCTCGGTCTTCATAGTGGCAACTTCCTCCCGGAGCCTAGGCAAGTCACTAACCTCACCTCGCTCTATCTTCTCAACCTTCAACTCAATCTGTTGCAGACGATCCCCGAAAGATGTTTGTTGTTATTGGAGTGCTGTCACTGAGGACTGGATAGGAGTCAACGCCTGTTTGATGAGGATGGGCAAGTTCTTCAGAAGCTGGTCTACCTTAGCATTGGCATGCTGAACTATGAGACCAAGCCTCGAGACGACTGGCAGTGAAGCAGAAGGCTGAGCAGTGGTGGACCAAGAGGTAGGCTGTGAAGTAGAAGTGGACGCAATTGGAGCCTGAGGAGTCACAGGAGTCTGGGAGTCGGAAGGCACCACATCAATTGGAACCTGAGTCTGAACCTCTGGGGGAGCAACAACATCACTAATGCGCGTGATATCTATTTCCTCCAGCTCCTTCCCTGTCTTATCAGAATGCGGCATGGTGGGGACCTTCATAGCCTTACAGAGGGCTAGGATCAAGCAGGGGAATGGAAGTGAAGTAGCGTGTTGCTTTGCCCGGATCCCTAACTCTCGGAAGATAAGGGCACCCACATCAATCTTGATGCCCTCCGTAATACATGCAATGAGAAGGGCTTTCTCAATGCCTATATTGATCTCGTTTCAGGATGGTATCAAGCGTGAGGTGACAAAGCTGAGCCAAAATCGACCCTCTCGTGTGAGATCTTCCTTGTATATTTTATGCACAGGGTTGATCCAAGCAAGGGTCCCCCTTGCTATCACCGAAGCAATCCAACTACGCTCATTTTCCCTATTTGCCCATTTGGTAGCATACTCAGTTGTGCCCGATTTCCAGCCAAGGAAGTATAGCTCATTAATTGTCTCACTGCTGCAGCTCACAATCTTCCCCAAACCAGCATAGTGTCACAAAAAATCCTGTTGCGTTTGTGGTACGCATTTCTGGAGGCTCCATACGATGCATAGAACTCACAGACAAGAGTCTCATTATACTCAACAGGCGGTTCAGTGAAACTTTCCCGTTTTCTTTGTTTTATGTTCTCCCATATGTTGGGTTACTGTTCTTGTAACCCGTTCAAGCTCAATTGCTTTTCGGCCAGGATCTTTCGTTTGGTGAGCCCTTCTCTGTATAGTGCCCTGGACCCATCAACCCCAAATTGGAGTTGGAAGTCGTCTCCGCTTTTCCTTCTTGCCTCAGATTGTAGGTCAACTGAGGGCAAGATCTCCTCCTCATCAGATTGGGAGGGATGTGGAACATTAGGGTCCGTTCGTGATCCTTTTGCTTGTGACGCGCGACGACTGGAGAATGCCCTTTTCTTATCAGAGGCTGAATATTTCTTGGAAGCCATATCTGCACAAAAGTAGAATGTGAGCAACATTGTAGGCAACAGTTAAAAGAAAACAAAAAAATTCAAGAAAAAGTTGAAGATGCGACAGGTTATGCGGTCGCATAACCACTATGCGGACCGCAAACCTGTCGCAAACTTGACAGTTCACTACTTGATCTCAGTCTGCGATGGGTTAGGCGATCTCATAACAACTATGCAGACCGCATAACCATCGCAGACATGATTGCTAAGAAAACTAAATCACAAAATGCGATCGCAAATCCCAAAATGGAAAATGCAATCGCAAAACAGCCACAAAAAGCAAGGTTTTAAACTGGGCGTTCTATTTCAGTATGCGGTGGCTTTGCGGTCCACATATCAATTATGCAATCGCAAACGTCGCTGCATTTCATCATCTTCCTCAGCCAACTAGGGTTCAATTATGCGGCAGAAATGCGGACCGCATTTCGATTATGCGAGCCACAAACTTCATCGTCCCCAACAATTTGATTCAACCATCAACAATGGCGGTCCTAATTCTTACTACCCAGCACCCCAAACATATTTCCTTCCCAAAAGACTATCACAATATGGGCAGACATCTACTTACAAAACACAATCAAGAATAAAGAAAGGAAATAGAAAAGAAACCAAAGTGAAATTGAAAATAAAAAATTAGGGCAAGGAAACATACCAGTGAAGATGAATAAGCACACTAGGGAGATGAATTCTCAAGTGTTTTCGTCCTTTGTTAGATGCCACTAGCCGTTTTGCCCCTTTTTTCGTTCTTTGTTTGCCCCTTTTTTTCCGTTTTTTGCTTTGTTTCTTTTCGTTAAATTTTTTTTGTTTTGTTTTGACCGTGGTGAGAGCTGAAGGGATGTAATGGATATACATGTATGATTTGCGGTGGATAAGTCACTGCATAACACACTATGCGACCGCATAAGTGTTATGCGGTGGGTTGAAGTGAATTGCTATAGTGCCAAAAATGCGGTGCACTATGCGATCGCATAGTGAAAATACGGTCCGCAAAGTGCACCAACTCGTCGCATCTTTACCACCAGATTTAGCCAAAAACACAGTGTTGGTTTGCGACTAATATGCGGTCCGCATAGTGAAAATACGACCGCATATGTGCAGCAAATTGTGCAAAGTGATTTTTCTTCCCTTTTTCATGCAATCTTACCCCGTGTTATGATCTTTTGAATCCCCTGCACTCTAACACACACTTTAAATTGCTCAATTAAATCTATATAATAAACAAATTAAAAACTTAAAGGTCAAAAAGGGTGTTACCACACATGGGTTTCCTCCCATGAAGCGCTTGATTTAACGTCGCGACACGACGAAGTTGATGTTCCTTTGGATTCACTCATTGGTCGGGCATGGACCATCTTTGAGAGCCAGCTGCTCCACCAAATGTTTTTCTCCATCTGTGCCCAAGTAATGCTTGACTCGCTGGCCATTCACTTTGAAGGTTCAGAGCCCATCCTCCGATTCTAGTTCCACAGCTCCAAAAGGAGAGACACTTACCAATTTGAACGGACCGGACCATTTTGATTTGAGCTTGCTCGGGAACAATTTGAGCCTTGAGTTTGAACTCCCTCTTCAAGATCTTTTTGTCATGGACGAACTTCATCCTTTCTTTATACACAACTGGACTTTCATATGCATGGAAATGGAATTCCTCCATTTCATTGAGTTTTGTTAACCTCAAATTTGCAGCTTCAACCCAATCCAAGTTCAACCTCTTCAGAGCCCACATGGCTTTGTGTTCCAGTTCTACGGGTAGATGACAAGCTTTTCCAAATACTAACCGATAATGAGAAGTGACAATAGGAGTTTTGTATGCCGTACGGTACGACCACAATGCGTCACCTAGCTTCCTTGACCAGTCGGTCCGATTAGCATTAACAGTCTTTGCTAGAATTCTCTTTATCTCCCGGTTGGAAACTTCAACTTGGCCACTTGATTGGGGATGATAAGGTGTGGCCACCTTATGCTTGACGCCATATTTCTCTAGTAGCCCCGTGAAAGCCTTGTTAAAGAAATGAGACCCACCATCACTAAGAATGGCTCTAGGAGTGCCAAACCGAGTGAATATGTTTTTCTTTAAGAAGGCTATCACACTTCTTGCCTCGTTGTTTGGTAAGGCAATTGCTTCAACCTATTTGGACACATAGTCCACAAATACCAAGATATACTTCATCCCACAAGAACTTACAAAGGGACTCATAAAATCAATTCCCCACACGTCGAAAATTTCTATCTCCTTCACAAAGTGCATTGGAATTTCATGCCTCTTGGAAATTGATACTTGCCTTTGGCCTTGGTCACAAGCCTTGACAATTTGATTGGCATTATGATAGATCTACGGCCAATAATAACCACATTCAAGCACCTTAACCGCCGTCCGATTTCCCCCATGGTGACCCCCAACCGGTGAGTCGTGGCATGCCTTTAGAATTGGCATAATCTCTTCTTCTGGAACACACCTCCTGATGATGTTGTCAGCACAAACACGGAACAAGAATGGTTCTTGCCAGTAGTATTGCCGACAATCTCTCAAAAACATCTTCTTTTGATAGGATTCCAATCCATCCGGAATAAGGTCACTAACCAAATAGTTGGCAATATCGGCATACCAAGGAACAAAAGTGCTAGAAAGTGCCAATATGTGTTCATCAGGGAATGCATCGTTGATCTCAAGACCTCCCTTAGGCCTCCCTGCCTCTTCAAGCCTTGATAAATGATCCGCTACTTGATTTTGTGTTCCCTTGCGATCCTTGACCTCGAAGCCAAATTATTGCAGCAACAAGACCCATCGAATCAACCGAGGGTTTGCATCCTTTTTTTTCATAAGATAGCGAAGAGCAGCATGATCTGTGTACACTATCACCTTGGATCCCAAAAAATAAGCCCGAAACTTCTCGAAGGCATAAACAATGGCAAGATTCTTGCTCAGCCACCGTGTAATTCATTTGCGCTCTATTGAGTGTCTTGCTTGCATAATAGACCGGGTGGAGAACCTTGTTGTGACATTGGCCAAACATTGCTCCAATGGCTACACCACTGGCGTCACACATGAGCTCGAAAGGAAGAGACCAATCAGGTGTGACAATAATAGGTGCCGCGGTGAGCCTTTGTTTCAATTCCTCAAAGGCTTTGAGGCATTTTTCGTCAAACACAAATTTGGCATCTTTCTCAAGGAGTTTGCATATAGGATTTGCAATCTTGGAAAAATCCTTGATGAAACACCTATAGAATCTGGCATGCCCTAAGAAACTTCGAACACCTTTAATGAAAGTAGGTGGAGGAAGCTTGGAAATAATCTCGATCTTAGCCCGATCAACCTCTATGCCATGTTTTGAAATTTTATGCCCCAATACAATGCCTTCATCCACCATGAAATGGAATTTCTCCAAATTGAGCACAAGGTTGGTTTCCTCACATCTCTTAAGCACTTGTCTAAGATTGTTAAGACAATGCTCAAAAGAGTCACCTACCACCGAGAAGTCATCCATGAAAACCTCTAGAAAAACCTCCACCATGTCGGAGAAAATGGACATCATGCATCTTTGAAATGTAGCCGGAGCATTGCACAAACCAAATGGCATCCGGCTAAAGGCAAAAGTTCCATAGGGGCAAGTGAATGTCTTCTTCTCTTGATCCTCCAATGCGATGTTGATTTGGTTGTAGCTTGAATATCCATCAAGGAAACAATAGAATGACCTTCCCACTAGTCGATCAAGAATTTGATCAATAAAAGGCATAGGGAAATGGTCTTTGCATGTGGCACTATTGAGCTTCCGATAATCCATACACACCCTCCAACCGGTCACCATTCTTGTTGGAATGATCTCATTTTTATCTTTTTCAATTACGGTCATGCATCCCTTTTTCGGCACACATTGCACCGGGCTCACCCAAGAACTATCGGCAATAGGGTAGACTACCCCGACATCCAACCACTTGATGATTTCTTTCTTTACCACCTCTTGCATTGACGGGTTCAACCGTCATTGATGTTCCACACTTGGTTTCGTCTCACTCTCCAATTGGATCTTGTGTTCGCAAATTCCCGCAGGAATCCCTCGGATGTCCGCAATTGTCCATCCAATGGCTTGCCTATGCTCCTTCAAGACTTCCACCAATTGTTCCACCTGCACATCATTCAACAAAGAAGAAACGATTACGGGTAAAGTATCATTGGAGCCAAGAAATTTATACCTCAAGTGTGGTGGAATTGGTTTGAGCTCTAGTTGCGGTGGCTCGATAATAGAAGGCTTTGCGGGCGGAGTGGCTCTATTCTCCAAGTCGAGAGAGAGCTTTGCCGGAGCATAAGTGTAAGATCCATAGCCCTCCAATGCATTTACCGATTCCATATACCCTTCCATATCTTTACCATCAAAGTTCACCAAAATAGTCTCCAATGCCTCGCCAAGGCATTGTTCTTCCATTTTCATTTCAACCGCATCCTCTACTTCATCAACAACATCGATCACCGAGATGCTTTCATATTCATGGGGTAGTTTCATACCCTTGCTTTCTTGGAATGTAACCTCTTCATCATTCACATGGAATTTGATCTCATTCCATTCTGAATCCATTAGTGCTCTTCCTGTGGCAAGGAATGGTCTCCCCAAAATGATAGGGATCTCTTTGTCAACCGCACAATCAAGGATTATGAAATCGGCGGGTAAATGAAACTCTCCCACCTTTTCAAGTACACCATCAACAATTCCCACCGGTCGTTTGATGGAACGATCGGCCATTTGCAATCTCATACTTGTGGGCCTTGGCATACCTAACCCTGCTTGCTTATAGATGCCAAGAGGCATTAAGTTGATGCTAGCCCCATTATCACAAAGGGCTCTTGCAAAATCACGTGCTGCAATAGTACATGGAATTGTGAAAGCTCCTGGATCTTCATTCTTTTGAATGGTGGATGTTGCAATGATGGAACTAATCCGGTGAGTCATGTTCACCACTTCATTCTTTGTAGTTCTCTTCTTGGTGATCAAATCTTTAGTAAACCCCGACATCTCTTGAAATGCTTCCACAAATGGAATATTCACCGATAATTGCTTGAGAATGTCATAGAATTTTTCGAGTTTGCTATCGTCAACCTTCCTAGCAGTCATTGAGGGAATGGAGGAGGAGGTCTAGGAATAGGTGGAAGAGTTTTTGGTGTCTCTTTTACCTTTTCCTTTACCTCTTCTCGGCCCTCTTCTTGCACTTGCAACTCTTCCGGAATCTTTTCAACTTCGACAACACTTGGCTCTTCAACCTCAACCCCTTGTTCGAACTCTTCTACTTCAACCATTTGTTCACCCTCTCCTTGTAGTACCTTCCCACTCCGAGTAGTAATTGCCATGATGTGAGAAGTTGGACCACTCCCACTACCCCTTGGGTTCGCAATTGTGTCACTAGGGTGTGTTCCCTGTTTTCTTTGGATTTTGTTCCCTAGAGAGGTCTCTCATTTGCATCTCCAATTTTTGAATGGATGTGGTATGAGAGCCAACAAGCTCGGTCATGTTCCTCATAGAAGTGTCGGATTTTTCTTGATTTTGCAATACCTGTCCAAGCATACCTTCCAACTTAGATTCACTTGAGGAACCTTGATTTGAATATTGTCCCTTTGGAGGAACATAAGGGTTTGTACTCCGGTTTGAGAAGTTGTTGTTGTTGTTCCAATTTCCTTGGTTTGAGCCACCTTGGTCATGTCGCCATTGTTGGTGGCCTTGCCCTTGCGGATTTGGCCTCCATTGATTTTGTTGTCCTTGACCTTGGTATTGTTGTCTTTGATACCCTCCTTGAGGGTTGTTGATGTAGTTTGCTTCCTCAAAAGCTTCATATGATATATCTTGCACATCCTCCACCACATTCACCTTTTTTGTTTGACTTTCCATGAACATTTTTGCCAACACACTGACATTTGTGGCAAGCCCTGCGATTAATTGATCTCTCTCTTGATTCTCCTTAATTAGGTTGCTCAAGGAGGGAGAACCATATGAAATTCCACCTGTGGTGTCCTCGGAGTGCCAAGCTTGATTATGTTGTGCCTTTTGTCAAAGATCTGTGTGACCCTTGTGAATGTCTTGTCCATAAAAGATTCGTCAGCTGCATTTTTGGCTATAGATTGGTTCATTGGATCTAAGCCCATGTAGAATTTTTCCAACAAGATGGAATCATGAAAACCATGATTGGGAGACCTCACCAAATATAATTTGAAGTGATCCCATGCCTCATGTAGATGTTCTGCCGGTACTCGCTTGAAAAAGAAGATTTTATCTCGGAGCTCAGATTTCTTACTTTGCCCGAACCATTTAGCTAAGAACGCTCGGACAAGTTTGGGCCAAGAATTAATAGAGTTTGGTGGCAAATTCTTAAGCCATTTCCTCGCGTCTACAGGTAGTGAATACTTGAAGCACCTTAATGGAGAGCCATGTCTTCGCCTCAGCCGTGAAGTCATGAGAATCAACTCGCTTGTGCACTGTCAGCCACTTCGGAGTAACCCTATCATGTAGCTTATCTACTAGCTATTGGTCTCCTCCTGCTCTGGCTTTGTCTCTGTAGACCTCGTTGTCAGCATTGGGGAGGCCATAAACACCATTTATTATCTTAGGGCTGAAGTGGACTTGCACGCCCCGCACAGTAGTAACAAAGGCACCTTGAAAATCGGTCATCAAGGCGTTTGCATAGAATTCCAAAACTATTGTGTGGTTGGCATTATTTGGTTGCTCAGCAAAACAAATCCACCTGCTCTCTATCAAGCGCATGTAGAAGCTTGACATTTTAGCTTCAACTTTTTCCAATTTTATGCCTCTTTCCCGGACAATGGTCTTGGACAAGAGTTCATCGTATATCCGCTCACATGTTGCAGATAGAAACCGCTCACGATCAAAGACTTCCTCTTGTCCAGGTCCAAAGACATGTTCTTGTGCAATTTCATTATGATCCGGATCAATTTTAAGCCCAAAGAACCTAGAAAATAGACCAACAATGTTAAAAGCTCATACAGACACTTAAAACAATGTATTAGGAAGTATTTAGGCCAAAGAAATGGGTGAAAAAGGTCCCGGGCAGAGCTGTACAAAGCTACAATTTTTTGCCATTTTCGGGACTGCCAGTGATTGCTCTTCGCGTTCGCGAGCAGACCATCGCGTTCGCGAAGAGTAAAATTTTTTTTTCCCAGACTCAGACCTTCGCGTTCGCGAGAAGACCATCGCGTTCGCGAAGGTTTAATTTCCTGCCCCCACTGTTTTGCCTTCGCGTTCGCGAAGGTCATCTTCCTCGCCAGATTTTTTTTTCTTTCAGGCTTTTCTTCAAACAGTTGGGGTGACCACTATTCTTTGTTCATTTATAGAAAATTTATGCACAGATCTTACCCAAAAATTTCTTAAAAACAACCACTCACACTCAACCAATCTTACCCAGCAAGCACAACGGATTTCACACACACATTTGACATTTAAGACCATAAAATTTTTGAACCTTAAGCACCAAAAACCATGGATGTTCTTCCATTGTTTCACACCAAGAAAGAGAAGAAAGTCTTATGATGAGAGCGAAGAAATTACATACCTTGAGAATGGAGATGAAAAATTGCAAGAAACTTGAAGATTATGGATGAATTGAATTTTTGGGGCTTAAGGAGTGGAGGGGACTGTTGTTTGAGAAAAAAGGGTGAATTTTCTCATTTCCAATAGATAATTTGTTTTTACACTTACCCGACCCTACACGTTCGCGAGGGATGTCCGCGTACGCGAAGGGTAAAGACTGTCAATGTCCGGGTACTGATGTTCTAAACGTCAATACCACACAAGAGGGGAGGGGGATGATTTGTGTGGTACCCAATTTTCGTTCTAGAAGAACCTGGTTCTTCTAGCTGTACTTACTACTACTGTTTACGGAATTAAAAGTGCATAAAATAAGTAATTTAGAGATTTTTACGTGGAAAACACCTGGCTCAAAAGGTGAAAAAACCACGACCTACTACTCAATAGGATTTTTCCAAACTTCCACTAAAATCACTAAGCCAAAACAGCATTTACAGAACTCTTGTAAACCTAAGGATTAAACTCTAATCCGAGTGTAGCACACAGCCACAACTGCAGCGGCACTTTCAAGTTAACTCTAACTTGAATACTCAAAGTACCTAATACAATTGCTTCTATGAATGTTGGAAAGGTACAACTTTAAAACACCTACTACAATTGAACTGGTTCTTCTATCTTGTTCAAGTAGCTTCAGGAATGCACACTTGAATCACACATAAATTGCTTGAAAAATTGCCCCGCTCTTTTGCTCTCAATTTAGTTTAACTTCTGCGTTTGTGCAATACCTGTAAAAGAGAACAATCACTGTTATGAGTTAGTAATTAGAGTTTGATTGAGACTCAATTGCTGATCCTTCATCGAATTTGAGTCGTAGAACACTACAAACTCCAACCCTTATCCTTGATACGAATTAAGTTCTCTTCACATTAGGAGACTTCATCTCCTCATCCTCTGTGCAAACTTTTCGATCAATTCAGAAGATATTGCTGCTTGATCCTTGAAACTTATCTTCTTCACGTGCATCTCACATGTATAAGTAGATACCACTGTGTCTCACATGATGAACCTGGTCCATGACTGAGTTCATTTGTCAATCTTCAAAACTTCATCTGAACTTGGGCCAACAAATTCCCCCTTTTTGATGATGACAAACTCTGTGCTTTTACTGATCAGAGAACCCTGTGGAACTCAGCTTAATTATCAACACTTTAACTTAGAAATCTTAACTTATCATTAAGGATCAGGTTTAATCAGGTTATAAATATCACTTTAGTTCAGAATACAAAGTAAAGCACAATATCTCTTCCCCCTTTTGGCATCATCGAAAAGTTGCATATATTGTGAACCCAGATATTAGTAATTACTCATGGCCACTGGGGAAAGTGCAAGTGAAAACATGGTTTAATTAATCAACAACCAGCAAACAAAATTAACTATTAAGATCAGAATCTGCAATAGAACAAGAGAAATAGCAAATTGTCATTGATTAGAGATGCCTCCATACACAGACCACAAAAAGAAAGAGAAAAACTTCCAACCATGAGCAAAAAACAAAAAAAATCTTTAACTGGGTCATTGGAGGGGGGGGGGGGGTTCTAGACTGGTTCAAAGACAGAGACTGGACATCCTAGGGCTTGGAGGAACTAGAGGGTTGGGTTTGGAGAAGTTTGAGCATATTCTGAAGCATTCCATCACTCTTTTCCTTTTCCTTTGCTAGCTCAGATTTAAGGCCATTTCTCTCATTTTCCAGTTCAGCAATACAGGTCTGGAGCTTAGCAATTTTAGCATCTTTTGTTCCACATTCTTGAACCAAGGCCCTAACCTTGCTATTCACAGGAGTCTTCAGAGATGAACCAGGTTCAACTGGGGTGTCATTCACCGGATAGTCACAAGCCATAAGAGTCTTGACACAAAAGTGCTCCTTGCTTGATGCCATTTCCCACTTCTTCAAAGCCACATTTAGCCTTTCCAGAACAGTAGTCAATAGGAACCCATATGGTGTGGCATGAGCTTTGGAGCCATTGATGACTTTATCCAGTAGTTTGACAATAAAAGCAGGCCAGTTTATCTGTATTCCTCTCACCAGGCACTCCATGAGGACCAAGTCCATGTAATTGGCAGTATGCCTTCTCTCCTGCCTTGGCAGCAAACATTTGTTCACAAACTCAAATAGCACCTTGTGCTCAGCCCTCATCTCACTCTTCTGAACAAACCTGGCTTCAGGCACATCTTCAGCAGTTGCAAAATCACAAGTTTCTGGTGATTTGGAGTGCAGTAGGAAGAGAATCTAGACAAGGCTACCTTTGCCTAGTATAATCATTATATCCCACACTGGGAATGTCTAGAATCTAACCCAATTTAGGTACATCAAACTGCATCTTTACTCCTTTCACCATGCTGGTGACAACCCCATTCTTGACAGTGGCATTGGCCATGAACTCAATCAGCTCCTTTCTGGCCAGTTTCCCATCCAATTGAAGGACCATGTCCTTCCATCCTTGTGCAGCTAGGGCATCCACCAATCTTATCATACCTGGCTCCTCCGGGTCTTTCAACAACCTGCCTTTCAAGATATTTCTCCTGCCAAAAATGGCAAATCTGTCCTGTTCTTTCTCAGACTCCTCCTCTTCTTCTTCTCCACTCCATTCTTCTTCTTCTTCAATAATTTTCTTTTGTTTTCCCTTCACAGCAGACCTAATTCTTTTAGCCAACGAGGACTCAGCAGATACATGTACAGAGGATGACTGCTTGGTCGAGGTCTTGGAACTCTTTGGTTTGGGTGTTGGAACCTTCAGTTGTTCCTCTTTCTTGATGGACCGGGTCCATCTCCTCTTCTTCTTCTTCTTCTACAACCTCAACACTCTCCACAACTTTTGCCTTTCCTTTTTCCCTCCTTTTCTTCCTGCTTTCTTCCAGTGCTTTCCGCAACTCTTCCTCACTTTGTTTGACCCTACTTCTAGTTGCTCTTCCCTTTGAAGGGACAATAGACTTAGGAGATGACACTTTGCTTTTCTTTGTTGGCTTGGAAGCAGTTGGAGCTTTTAGGGAAGAAGCCTTACGCTTCTTTGGATCATAGCTGGCCCCAACCTTCTTCAAGATGTCAGCTAGGGTTTCTTCAACAGATGAACCAGGTTCATCTTGTTGTTTACTTAAATGAACAAGACCTTCAGCATCCTCCCCGGAGCCACTTCCTCCTGACTTATTGCCACTCTCCTCTACCCTTCCACAGATTGCAAGAATTTTGTCTTTCCTTTTATTTCCCTTTCTACTAGACTCATCCTCCTTTACATCTTTCAAAGGACCAACCAAAACAAACCTATTATCTTCCTTTTCTACCACATCAGAAAATACAAAAC